CCATTCATCTTGCTAATCGAGTTGCATATATAAGATGAGATTATTTGCACACATAGATATTCATAATCATACAGAGCAATGCCACAATTCGCATGATCTATTGATCATTGCAAATAAAGATTCGAACATATTTATCATCATTTATACGGATGTTTATTGTCAAATGGCTCATTTATAACTTAGTGTCTTTTTCTCTTTCTCATTTTACACATACAAAGACCAATCAACGTTTATATTAAATATGGCTAGACAACAACCAACAAGCACAGTCGCATCTTTCTTTCATCATCTTCTTACAGATAATCTTACTTTTGCTAGAAACTATCAGCCTGAGGGCTGCCGATTGTGTTTGACCCGGAACAAGAATACTTGCTTGCTTACTTTCTCTTGTAATTGGATACAGAAAAGAACACAAATTACTAGATCGTTATATATCCATATCAATATTATTGAATCGAGAAAAAGTGAAGAGAGGTGCCGCCTGTATCCTAATTCGACATGCCGACAAACGTGTATGTTTGTCGGGACGAACAAATCATTAGTGTTCTATACGATTGATGGAAATAATGAGTCAGTTGCAAAGTGACGATGAGAAATGTATCTATCTATTTCACACTATCAGTTCATAGTTTATATGCCGCGCTTTATTATTTATTGTTCCATTAGAAAAACAGTGTGAAAACAATGAACAAAAAACATCCTAATTTATTTCATGCTACTAAAGATTATCTTTTTCCTTTTTCAATATGAAATCTGATTTATATTTGATGATTTTACCATTATCGATTTGTTTGCGTCAGAATATTTGAAAAAAAAAAAAAGAAAGAAACGAAAGAACAAAAGTATATACACATCTGATTTTATTCACATTCATTGATGATTTCTTTTCATATAAATCCCTTGTCGATCAAACCATCATCATTCGAATAAATTTTTCTCTAAATATTTAGCCGTTTGCCGACTTAAATTTCGTAACGGTGTCGGCATTAATAAACTAAAATAAAAAAAGTCAAAAGAAACAGCTCATCTTTCTCTTATTAATCAATAACGATTGATACATTGATGTTTTCAACACGTGTCTTCTTCACAACACATTTATCTTTGAGACGAAGAGAGAACAAGTGTTATTTTGACATTCTATCAAGAGAGAGAGAAATTCTACATATAAATACCTACTCAATTTTCGACATCAAAAGCTTTAATGAAATTATTTTTGAACAATATAAAAAAAAGAAATTGTACCACATGTATCCAGCTGGATTTTTCTTCTAAAAATTGTTTAATGAAGTGATATATGCGTGGATGGCAAACAAAAATAACGACGTTTCGCTTGTCTGCCACTACATCTAAATATCAACAATGAAACTAGGAAAAGACATAGAGAAAGAGAAAATAATGATACTGTGAAAGCAGTGTGTCTCTTCAAATGTCATCGAGTCAATTTGCTCTTTTTTTCTCTCTCTATTTCTAAGTACCGTATGGTTGCCAGTAAATGATATTTGATCGTCTTCATCACATTATATACTCTCTTGGCCATATATGTTTATACACATATATATGTAGATGTAGTATACAAAGTTTGCAACAGTCCATAGACAACATCGATATACGTTTTTTGTTCATGTTTATTAAAGAGCAGAAAGTTTCAAGATAATATCAAGGTTTCAGATAATTTGAAGTCCACTCTTTAACTATTTCTATGATAATGAGATATCAAAACAAAAAATGAAAAGTTTTTATGAATCAAAGACTGATTTCAACTAGAATATTTTGAAAAGCTGAAAGATAAAATCTATATACTTTGTATCTCTCCTACAGAAAATTTCAATCAATTTCATATTCATCCATGATTTTATCTCATTTGCATATATTCAATACAAGAAACTCGACATGATGATAAGCTTTTATTATTATTGTTGATTTAGAAGTATTTCTAGATTTTTCTTAATGTTTTTTTTCAACAATATAAATCAATAAATAAATTTATTACTTTTTTTTCGACTTAATTTCTTCATTTATGCCTTCTGCTCATTGATTGCTCTATCCTTTTTTTCTTATCTGAATGCTTATTGGTCAAAATATATCTCTAAGCAAGCAAACGAGCGGCTCATCTCGTTTTTCTTTTCTTGATAAATCCTCGCATCGGACACGAAAAAGAAAGAAACCAACAGTAGAAGAGGAGAAGAAGAAGAAGAAGAGAGAGAAAATCGTTTACGTCTCTTTTAATGTAAGAGAGATAAAAATTCTAAATGGTTGATACTCGATAGTCAGCTAAAAGCATAGAACGAAGAGAGGAAAAAAAGAGAGAAAAATAAGTGTTAATACCAACCTAAAAAAAGATACAAGCTAAAAGAGACGAAGAGAGAAATCGATAGATCGAGTGATAGGGAAGAAGAAAAAAAGCAACGCTACAAGTATAATTGAAAGCGAACGGCAGTAAGGTGAATTCGAGTGAAACCAAGTGCAACGGAAAAACCGAATCGAACCGTGAACTAACCGAACCAACACACACAAGCACGGGACATCGAGCGTAGCCAAAGTAGATCAACCTACCTGCCTTGTCTGCATCCACTAACATACAACGATTGCAATGGGTATGTAAATTGTCTACAGATGAATGACGATTGTATGTGCGAGATAGCAAAAATGTTTCATCATTTTTTTTCGTATTTGTTGTTGCCTCAGTGACATACTAGAACATTTACTTCTATGCTCACTGAGTTTATTCCTTCGTTTTTTTTTACAAATGTCCACTAAGAGAACATATAAAAAAAAGAGAAAAAAGAGAGTAACAAACTTTTTTTCTACTAATTCTATTTGTTAATCTAGTTTCATCTATTATTATATCATGACATAAAATCATATTTGACAAGTAAGATAACAGTATCAACAGACTTCTGCTTTTATTTTATTTTCTCCCCATTCTTATATAAAAATCTAGAAATAAGATAGAAATATTTCTTATCCCATGATTTTGTATTCTGATAAAGTATTCTTTCAAGATCTTTTTCTTTTTCTATTAAAAATATGTTTAATAACAATCAACAATATTTTGAATGTATCTCATCATTTACACTCCGAAAAATAAACATATCATCAATCATAATAATCGTTTTTTCTTCTTCTATTTAACCAATCCATAGACGATCCGAAAGAAAATAGTATCATCATCTCAATAGGCTAGAAAAGAAGATGATAGATGATCAAATTTCATATATACATATGCACAACCTTGCTAAATGATAATAATCGTTTCGATTCCTTTTGAATATATTTAGTTTGTTGAATGAGAGATTCCTACTGTGCATGTGATCGATGATGATGACAATTACGTGCTTCCGAAGAGTTTCTATTTTGTTTATCGAAGATAAAGTATGAATAATAAGAAGGAAAGAAAATGATAAACATTTTAATAAGTTGAAATGATTAACTGATATTTTATTCTGAGTTGTTTTGTTTTATAGCTGATTATTCATTTAATGATACAAGTTCCAGTCAAAGTTATGGAGAAGTTAATCAACTTGGTGGTGTATTTGTCAATGGACGACCATTACCAACACCAATTCGTTTACGTATTGTTGAAATGGCTAATCTTGGAGTACGTCCATGTGATATAAGTCGTCGATTAAAAGTATCACATGGATGTGTTAGTAAAATTCTAGCTCGTTATCATGAAACAGGTAAATTTAATTGAATTGCTTTTTTTTTCTCATCTATTTTCTTGGTTTTTCTTTTGTTGGAGGTTCTGTATTACCAGGCGCTATTGGTGGAAGTAAACCACGTGTAACAACACCACGTGTTGTTGGTCGTATACGTGATTATAAAGTTAAAGATCCAGGAATGTTTGCATGGGAAATACGTGAAAAATTATTATTAGATAATGTATGCGATAAATTTAATGTACCTTCGGTATCATCGATTTCACGTATTTTACGTAATAAAATTGGTCCATTATCGCAACCAAGTAATGGAAGTGGCGGAGGAGGAAGTAGTGAACATAGTAATTCAAATTCACCTCCACCAATTCCATCATCATCATCATTTGCATCAGCTACAGTATCATCAGCGACACCACCATCATTAATGAATAAACATGATCTATCACCTATTAATACTCCTTCAGTAGTTTCATCATCAGGATCAATATGTAAAATTGAACCACCAACATGGTCACCTTATGATCAATCGACAACATCATCACATCATCATCGATATCTTTATCCAAGTGTTGCATATCATCCAACATTTCAACATCAATTTGAATCAGCTATGAAATCACCATATACAGGAGGAAATCATATGGTATCAAATCCAACAAATAATGGAGATATTTCAAGTGCATTTACACATGCTCATCATTATCATCATCAACATCATCATCATCCAAATACAACTGTTAACAATACAAATAATTATACATCATTTTTCAATGCTTTTCCTTATACACCAGCAAGTAATTTTGCTGTTACAACACCATATTATCCATCTTCTTATGGTTTACCATTGACACCACAAGCTTCATAAAGAACAAAATACTATTTCATTTTTTTTTTCTTTCTTTGACAAATTTTGTGTGTGTGCGTGTGTGTTTTCTCCTTTAGAATGTAAAATATAATAATTCTAATTCTAATAATAATAATATTGAACAATTCTAAAACAGAAATCGATTGACTGAAAAATATTGATTGTTTTATCTTATGTTCTAGCTAGCAGACATTGATATAGGTCTCTATTTATTTTGACGTCGAACGTCTTTTTCGAAATTCAAACATATACATATACTTCTTCGTTTCATAATCATTGTCCAAGAAGTGTCACAAAAAGAAAATACTGTTTTACAGTCATAATAACCTTTATCAATTATTGATTTCTTTTTTCTCTTCGTCTATTCATTAAAGTGAACAATTGTTGATACATTCTATTTTCTTACTGATAAGATTTTTTTGCTTTCAATCTGATTGACAGTAGTCTATCATGATTTTTTCTATTCATATATGATCTGTAGTAAACAGGTGAATGTCTGTATATATATATATTGATTGATAAGTGTGAAAAATTCTCTATTCATTTAATCTCATATAAATATTGTGATACATTAGTTTTTAGCATTGATGTGAATTTTTTTCGATTAGAAGACTGATTGTTATTTATAATGGCAAAACGTGTTTGTTAAAAGGGCATATATTTATGAGAAGTATGGTGATATTACGTGATTATCCTATCGAAGAAAAAAAGGTCATCCATCTAATTTACAATTTCATTTAACCGTAAATAGATAGAAAATCAAAACTAAGAAATAATATTAATCTCTTCACCTGTTCAGATCTTATTTCATTTCATATGATTTCCATATCAAATCAACTGTTTGAGAATATTTAATTTATTATTTCCTTTGCCTCTTGTTTTTTTTCTCTTAATTTTATACACATATGTAAAACAGAACAGAAAAGAAAATGAATGATCGAAAAGAATTGACTTCCATTTTATATTTATATGTCCATGTCCTCTTCTTTTTTCGATTTTTTGTAGAGATTATGAATATTATCGCCGAACTAAAATAAAAAATTTTTAGTAATAATAATTAATAAATAGAAAGATTGATTTACCTTCGACTACAGTTGGATCTTGTCCACGTCGTGGCATAGTTGTTGTACGTCGTTGAGGTGAAGTTCCATTTTGATATCTATCACGAACAGTTCGATATCTTGATGCATACGATGGACGACGTACAAGTTCTGACCTATAATTTAATTGAAAAACAAAATTCAAAAAAAAAACATATATTTTAATACAAACATGTCATCAGATTCACTATAACTTTTAACAAGACGTTGAGTATTTGATGGATTTATCTAAAATAAATCATAGAAAATAATTTTTTGAAAAAAGAAATCTATTTTTTCATACATCTTGTTCCGTATAATCTTTGTCTTGATTAACAATTTGTTTACTACCGGGTTGTACTTGTTGTTCTCTCATAACTTGATCAAGTTTTCTAACGAGTTTTTCATTTTCTCGTGTTAAAATTTCATGATCAGTTCGAATTTTTCTTGTTGTTGTACCACTTAATCGACCTCTATAATAAATAATAGAAGAAAAAAAATCAATATTAAAAAAAAGAAAAGAATTCAATTGACAAAATATTTACTGAGAATCTTGACGCGTATCATAGACATCACTACTAGCTGATGAATGCATCGAGGTTTGAGAACCTGAATCTGAATTACGATTTTTAAGTTTAGGTAAAATACTTGGTTCTTTTCCTAATTTTTGTCGTAATTCATAATTTTCATCTTTTAATTTTCGTACTTCACGTTTTAAACGATTGATAACATTTTCTTTTGAATCAGTTTTTACTATTGGAGCATTTTCAATATTTTTTGCTCGATTAGCATAACGTAATGTACTTAAACTTTCATTTTCACATGAACTAGCTGGAGATACACATGCAATCTTTAATATAGAAAAAAATTCGAAAAATCAATTTTTCTTGATTAAAAATTTTTTTTTTACCATTAAAGTTATTCCATGTCCACCTAAACTTTCTGCTAATAAACGTGTTAATTTAGAATCTCGATAAGGTATATGACCAGCACGTTTAACAGGATCACTTAATGCCGAAATACATGTACCTAATATAAAACAATACAGCAAAATTTAAACCTTATTAAATTTATTTACCAAGTGTAAGTAAGCTTTTATTGATATTATTGGTTTCAGTTAATTGTTTACCTTTTGAAAGACTTACTTTAACTTTTTCACTTCCTAAAAATACAAGTTTTATTTTCTGATAAAAACTTCGATTAAAACTTTACCAGCTAAATCAACAAAAATTAATTTTCCTTGTCGCGTCATTTGTTCTGTTGAAGTAGTACCTTCTCCTGATATATCTTGTTCAATTTGAATTGAAAGCATTGCATGACTACGACTTGATGTATCATTAAGATTATGTGAAGCCATAGCTCGATTTAATTCACCTAAATATTTATTAGAATTAAAATTAAACAAAACTATTTTTTATTCAAACCTTCTTCAAGTATTGTTAATAATTCATCCATTGTTTCAATATAAGTTTGAAAAAGATTTTCAACATAAAATCCATCTTCAACTGATCCACGAATTTGTAAACTTTGACTATGTGCTGGATTAATTAAATCATGAATCTAACAAAACAAAATATTATTAAGAAAAAGATTTTTTTGTATTATACTTGTTCATTATATATTTCACAGTAGGATACACGAATATAATACGGAGTAGTTGTTTCTTGAGATTTTTCTCTTAATCGTTGAAATAAATAATTGATTGCTCGTGGAACTAAACCAAAACATTTTATACGAACATTTTCATCCATACGAAACTAGACAAAACAAAAACAAGAAGATATTCAAGAATATACAAGAAAAAGATACATACAATATTAGCGCCTCCTGGACCAATCATTGTATGTGTTTTTCCACTGCCTGTTTGACCATATGCAAAACAAGTTGCAATATACCTAAGCGAAATATTTTCAATTGTTTTTATAATTTAATATTTCATTTACATACCCATCGATAGACATATCAACTAGACGTTTAATTCCACTATAATGAAATACTTCTTCTTGAGTTGATTCTATTGCAAAAATAGTATCAAATGTAAATCGTCGATTATGCTGTGCACCTTGAACCTATTTCATTCATTTTGTTATTAAATTAAATGAAAAATAAAAAATTTACCGTAACAGAATTTTCACCTTCGCCATGTAAGATTGATCGTTCGTTTCTTTCTAATTCACGATTATTCATCGGTCGAACACTGTTTTTGAAACAAAAAATTAATGGAAATCTAATTTAGTATTAGAAAAACTTACCGAACAACAACACGTACACGATCTTTGTCTGGACCAAGCTCTTCAGGTGGATCATTTCGATAAGCACTAAAATAATAATAACAAATAAATTCATATAATTTTTTTAACAGAACTATTTTACTAATAAATCCGTTGTTTAGATATTACTGAATGCATTTGTGTATTTATTAAATTATGTGATGATACAGTCAAAGTTGACATTATATAAGGATCCTATTTAATTTTTATAAAAATCAATCATAATATGAACTAGTCACTTTCTTTTTTTTTGTTCACCACTTCGTCCTTCTTTTTTTCTCGTTTTGAACGATAACGATGCCTAAGTGTCTATTGACATATGAAACAGTAAAACTGCAATCTCCAAACTAGAATTATTCTCTTATTCCCTCTCTTTCTCTCTTCTTTTCTTTTACGTATTGTCTTTCATCATCATTATATACGACTTTCTAACTACCCATAAGGTAGGTCTTCTTCTCTTCTCTTCTCTTCTCTTATTATTTTTATGCATATCTACCATCAACATTATAAGAAGACACTTGACTTATGTGTACTTATACATCATATCACTGATAAATTGAATCTTTATATACCTATCGCCGGTCGATGAACTCTTTTGTGCTATCACCCAGTCGATGACAGATGCACTATTAATATCTGTTTGAAGACCACGACTAACAGAATTAGGTCCATCTTGTTGTAAATCATTGATATTTTCTAGAGATGATACTTCAACACTTTCAAATGAAGGAATACTTCTTGGTCCTCTGGATTTGATTGGTGTTGTATTATTACCAGGTTGAGGTTGAGGAAATCGACTACGAGGAGATGTATCACGTTCAGATGGATGTGAATCATAATGTTTTGTCATTAAAACATCTTTCGATGGAATTTGAAGATGATTCTGATTAGAAGATGGTGGAAGTTCAATTAAAGAATATCTTTCAACAGGGGACTTAGGCATCCTATAGTTTTCTTGTTGGAATAACAAATGATTAATAATAATAAGAATATTCTCTAATACTTATATTTTTCTCTTCTAGGATACGAAAAAAAACAATAGAAAACACAATAATAACAATTAATTTCTTCTTATTTTCTTTTTCTCGAAAAACTAATTGAGATTTTATTTACACGCACTATCAAAATCTGCTACATAAAGACCAATTATTTTGTTATATTGATTGATCAATGTCATGACTGATATTTTGTTTATGTCACACTATATTTACGTATTTGAAAAATTCTTTTGTTTTTAGTCTAAAACATAATGTTATTTATTGTTCTTTTTCCAGGTACAATAAGGGTGAAAAAGACGTAAACTTCCATTAGAATTGGTTTTTACCGATAAAAAACAACAGGTTAATCTGCATTGATAGTATACGAAATAACAATAAAGAGCAATCAAGTTAAAGAACTTATATTCAATTAAAAATAACCAATAAAATGTTTTTGACAACAATAATTTTCTACGACTGTTTCTTAAACAATATATATCATTAACGCAACAAGTATCAACTCATTTTTATCAAGCTTGACATACAATCATTATATGATGATTCATCAGCGAGAAATTTTTATACATTCTAATATTTAATATTTATTTTTTCTGCTTATTTATTCAATGATTGATATATCCTTCTATGATTAGTGTATAACAAGGTTTCGCCTATTTATTCGATTCAACATCATTAAAAGGTGAAAAAAAAAGTATGACATAATGCAACCTAAAGAATGAGAATCAAACCTCCACATATTGTTATTATTCATCATCATCATCATCATCATATTTCAAACGATATAGAAGGAAATCAAATCAACGAAAGATTCAACATACCATCACTATATTTGAAGATTATATCCTTTCTTTTCATGGGTTTCTTTTTTCTTTTAAGATGACTGTCTAAATTGATTTCTTAAGAGTAGCCATTGTTATACTCACGTTCGGTAAATGGCAGTTGAATTATTCGATGCACGTATGTCGTAATATTGTCTCGATTGTTCAGGTTCTTCTCTATAGTCATAATTACTATTCGAATAAGATGGATAATGAACATAGTCATCATATTCATTTGTTGGTTGTTGTTGTCGTTGATGATAATATATTGTCTGTTGATTACCATCATTTCGTTTAGATGAAATCGGCATGTTACCTTCAATGTTCTCTATAGTTTCACTCAATCACCATGTGTATATGTGCGTATATGTTTCTTTTTTTTCTTTACTGCTGCCATAACAAATATATGTAGATATATATTATATTTATATTTATATTTGATTCCACATAGATGAAAAGTTAAAGCAATTTTCTTTTTTCTCTTTCATTCTCTCATCTTCTGTCTTTTTACTTTTGTTCGAAGAACTTATTGAATGATAAAAGAAGAAGAAAAAAAAAAAGAAAACGTAAAAGAACGAACGAATAAGGAAAAGCGAAGAAAAAGAAATGAGAGTAGTTATTTTATTTGCAAAGAGAATCTTCTTGCTGTTGTTGTTGTTTATGCACAAATAATCTTATTCTCATCTTACGAATTCTTATAGATGAGATCGTGAAAATCAATATATATGCATATATCAAATAATAAAGGACATACTTAATATATGGAAGAAAAAATAAGAAAAAAAGAAAGTAACCGGGCTTGGCCGGGGATTGAACCCGGGACCTCTCGCACCCTAAGCGAGAATCATACCACTAGACCACCAAGCCATGCTCTCTTTTCTTTCAAATGAATCTTTATTACAAAACAACACAGTCATAATAGATTCTTATTCCTTTTAAAATACGCAATTCCATTAATTAATTTCGAAATATTCCAATTCTCATATAACAGTTCCACGTTTTATTATTAGAAAATATTATATATATACGTATGTGATTTATACTCTTATTTTCATAGCAAGAATATATGCTCAAACTTAAACTACTAAGTTTGTGCATATGAATCATTTCTAACATGTTTAATATATTTTATTTGTTCATTAGGGAAATTTATAAAAAAAATACCTTTTAATAACAATTTTCTACTTGTATTAGTCATAGGTATAACATGATCATCTTTTATTAGATGAAAATTAGATTTTTTTTGTTGATTTTAATAGTTGAATCTTTAAGATAAAGTACACGACGAAATGGTCGATGACCTGGTTTCGAATCAACAAATGGCATTGTTATACATAATCACACTTTCTTCTACTTGCCATCGAAAGAGACTCCTCAATAATAAAAGTAATCAATCGTTCGAAGTGACTAGTACCACATCTATATTGTTTCATTTTAACATCAAAAAGTCTGAAGACTTTCATAAGTCATTTTTTTCTATGTCTTCATTTGTATTTTCAATCACAATAAGAAATCTTAGAAAATCGGGTGACTATACGTATGTATTTATTTTGATTTTTTTTAACCATTTGAACACAGAAAAGAAAAATGAGAACTGATCGAAACAACTCATTAAACTGATTAAAGAAGGAGGGTAGTTTAAGGTAAATAAAGATAGAAATACTGTGAATTGTTTAAAAACATAAAGACACACATACACGCAAACATTTAAAAAAATTACTTGACAAGAAGAAAAAAAGAAGAAAAAAAAGAACCAATAAAAAACAACAATTGAGAATATACGACAATATATCAGCATTTTGAATGCGATTATAAATTAACATAAACATATATATATTTATAGATAGATAGATATAAAACACATTGTTTTAATGCACTGTTTGATGTCGTTTAGGTACTGGAATTGAGCCAAGTTTACGCCGTACAGAAACATTTGGTGGTTGTGGTACTGATGTTACGGCTGCTGATGGCTTCGTTGCCACAGATGATACTGGTTTTGATGGTAGATTTGTAGACGATGAATTCAGTTTATTTATTGATGATGATGTTGATGAAGGAGGAGTAGGAACTTGTGGTTCTTTTGGTGAAATTTTGACTTGAGTTTTACGATCACGTAACCAAGCTCGAACATTGAAACGTTTTGGTAATAATGAAGTAGGACGTTGATTTGCTGTTGTAGTAGTTGATGGTGTTCTTGCTGCTGGAATAACATTTGATGAATGAATATATTTAAGACGAAAGGGTAAGGGTGATAGTTTTTCTAATTGATTTGTAATACGTTCAAATAGATCATTATCTGCATGTACAAGTATGAATGCCCATGATTCATAATATCCAGTAAATGTTGCACGATGGGATATGAAATGTGATAGCCATGATGCAAGTTCATGAAGACTATGAAGAAGAAAAAACAATTATATATATATACATATTAAGAATACAAATATATTTTTACTTGAGTAAATGATAAATAAATGCATTGAATTTTTCAATCCAATCAGCTGTTGAGGGTAGTCCTAATTGTGCTTTAGTTTTAGCTTCATTCAAACGGTCCGTTGTTGGTGTTGTTAAATCAATTAAACGCCATAAATTGACTTTTTTTGAAAATAAAGAACCACTATATTGTCGTAAACCATCTTCAAGTACTTCACGTAATAATGGACATAAATCTTGACGAAGTGTTCGATCAAGTTCTCGGTTAGTTATATTATTTAAATAATAAGACTAAAAAAATATATATATATATTGAAAATTTAGAAAATAAAAATAAATTATAATTACTTGAGGATCACCACATTTAATTTCTAATACATGAAGAACTGTATTTGCAAATGCATCAACAAGATATTTATCACTTCCATATTTAACCGGTAATGGTTTTGCTAATTCTGATGGTGCATGTTCGATAAAATTCATTGGTTGTTGTTCATTATTATCATCATGATCATCGTCAGATAAATTAAATTCACACGGTGGACTATCTGTTAAACTTTCTCGTGGTACTAAATCACAATAATCTATAGAGAAGAAAAAAAAAGTTTATTTCATATTTAATAATTTCATTAAGAAAAATTAATTATCCATACCTCGATCATGTCTAAATGGTCTTGTAATTGGTGGTGGTGTTGGTCGATGTTTAGGACTAGCCGATGGTGTTATAAGTCTTCGAGCAATATCATCACAAAAACTAACACTTTTCTTTGCACGAAGATCATGTTCAGATAATGTACATCCTTTTTGTCGTGTACGTAACTGCATAGAATAATTTTGTTGACGCCATGAAATAGTTGGTGCGGAATAACGTCGATGTCGTGCTGCTTTTAAACTATGATCACCGAGTGTAGCCGCTAATTTTTGTGCAGCTAATGTAAATATATCACCAGCAGTTCCAACTGCAAGCACATTCGCCGTTGTTGATGGCGTACTCGCTAATGGTGTACTTGTTAAATCTTCAGTTTTAGCTCGTTTTAAACATGATTTAAGTGGATATGATGATGATGTAGGTGTTTGAATATGACGTGGATGATTTGTTGAACTATTACTAAAATAACCACTACTTGATGTACTATTTGCACTCGTTGATGTACTTGAACATGTAGATGAAAGTGTAGCTGTTTCCTCTTCTTTCATATGATTGTCAATATTTGATGGAACAGATGGACTAAGTGGTAAGGCACGAAGTGGGCTATTATTCATTGTTGTTGGACTTGTTTTAATATTTTTAATACGTTTAATTTCTTTAAGTGTTCGTGGCCTTTGCATTATTGACATCGGAGGATGAAGTGATGTAGGTCTCAAGAGATTAGATGATGATGACGATGATACTGTTGACGATGGCACTTTAATACTACAATAGAATACAGTACGTATTCCTTTTTTTTGTTAATGATGATGGTTCAGATAATGTTGTTTTCATTCCTGATTGAAAATGTGTTGTTTGAATTGTAGGTGTAGATGGTGGTGGTGGTGGCGGGGCTGGATTTTCTTTCGCATAGTAAACAAGAAAACTAAGATCTGGCAAAGATGAAATCGTTGGTAATGATGGATGAGATGTTGAAGATGGAAGTTTTGATGGTTGACTAGGATTATTGCTATTATTATTCAATAAACGATCAACACTTTTCGAACGCGTTACGGATCCATTGTCTGTTTGCAAACAATGATTGTCTGTGTTTATAGGTCGAGAAGTTGATCGTGGAATAAAACGACGTGTTGATTTAGGTTGAGATGACAGATTATTGTCAACATGTATAGATGTTTGAAGACATTGATCAACACTATGTCGTGGTGCAACAATTTGATTAGAAACTAAAATGAAAGAGAATATATAGAAACAAAAACTTATTATTTAAATGTCAATCATATAATTTTGACAAGTAAAAGAAATTATATTTGTTCAATTATTTTCATTTGTAAACGGATTTAGTGATAACTAATCATTTGATCCTTCATTTTCATTTAATATCATCATATTTCATTTTCAACTTACCCTTGAAATGGTCTTTACTTTTTGTTGATGACTGTTCCGTTGATGATGAGAGATCATTATGACTACTGGATTTATTTAATTTTAATTGTGAAAAAGTTGTTGGACTTTTTAATTTAAATCTTGGTATTGGTATTTTATATTCTTGTTTCATTGATTCATTTAATTTATTTAAATTTGAACAAGATGATGATGTTAATGAATCACATATACTTTTATCACTAAAATTTTGATATAAACGACACGGGTGTTGTTGAGATCTTGTACGTTGAAATAAACGATATAATGTTAGTGGACTACGTGATCGATGACCACTCGCATCTGATGTATTAGCTGATGATGATGAACAACTTCGATGAATAGATTTTGATTTTATAGCATGCCATGATGTACGTGGTGGGTCAGACGATGAGGTTGTATCATCACCTTCAACATCGGCATCATCTTCAGTATCACCTCCACCACCGATAACACCTGAACTTAAACGCATTGACCATTCAGAAAGACTTGTTGCTTGACATGGAGCAGGAATTTCTTGTTGTTCTTGTTCAAAAGCAAGATGATGATAATTACGATCTTCATATAAATCCCAATGAAAGCCTTCGTATTGACTATCACGAAGTTGTGGTGGTGCTTTACGACAACAACTTCCATAAGATGAGAATATAGATCGATGACCACTCAACCAAAGTTCATCTTCATCCGGATTATCAACAGACATTTCATATTCGGGTGACTGGGGCTGTTGTTGTTGCTGTTGCTGTTTTTGTGGTTGTTCTTCCATTGGTGAATGAGCGTCTTTCAAATGATCATTAATTGAATCAAGCAATTGAGAAACTAATGTTGTCCGACAGTTCTGATTGAACATGGAGGCAACTAAGAAAAGAAAAAAGAAAAAATTTAAAATATTTTATTTATGTATGAATAAACCTCAATGCATCGCTACCTCATTGTTGACCTCAATAACATATTATTACTGATTGATATTACTTTACTTTGGTCGGACAAATGAATACAACGAAAGATAGACACTAGACATGCATTCTTTTTTTCTTTTCGGGGTTTTTTTTTCTCACACTCTGCGTGTTAATAATGATAAGCTTGCCAACTATATTTCGAAATAAAAGTTTGATGAACGAAAGAGAATAAAAAATGTTGACGATAATGATGATGTTGTTATTGATGATAATGATGATAGTTATGATGATGATAACGAGGAGAATTGTAATAGTGACAGTATGCACTATTTTTTTTCGAAGCTGTCCCGACGCGAAAAGAAGAAGAAGAACTCTATTATCGACTATGTATCTTATTAGTGAACTTGTATGCTTGTAAACAAGGGAGGGAAGATAAAAAAAAAGAAGAAAAGACAATGTAAGATGTGTAATGTGAGGATGGCGAGAAGAAAATTGAAACAGCATTCATACGTACATATATAAAAATATTGGTATTTCTTTCTACTCGATAGTTTGTTAATTAAAATAAAGAATCTGACATGTTTTATTGACAATTATATATTGTGAAGTGAAGGAATTTACTATAATACAGGATTATGAATATATATATTTACATACATATACATATATATATAGTTATAGTATAAGACTTGACTTCTTTCCTTTCTCATCAATAAAGATTGATGTAAAGGCCGAATACACAAGTGATGATAGCAAGCAAAGACGAGCATGCAAGGCTTCGATATTACTATCGTCTTCTCTTTCGATGCCGAGCAATAGGGGAAAAAAGGAAGAACAAGAAAGGCGGGCTGAAAGGCGACGAGAATTAATAATAGACTCGCAGATGTTTTCTCAAATGGCTACTTTGATGCTTTCAGTCGTTACTTAGATGCATCACACATATCATCTCATCGTTTTAGTCGAACCTTGAAACGCATGATTACACACATAGAATAAAATGAGAAGAAAAGAAATCATATAAAAACATAATTAAACTATTAATTTAGTTGTACACCTTTTCGATATTAATAAAAAAAACAAAAAACTAAATTGATTATGTTTGATAGAAATCTTCATCTTTAAATAAAAATGTTTAGATCAATTTCGTAATAAATACCTTGATTCTTATACGCATAAGATAGAACGATATAAACATACACTGTTCAATATTTTTTTTTCTTCTCTTTTAGTATTTCTTCTCTTTCACATCAATCCTTACCATCTTCATCATCATCATCATCGTCATCATCCTCCTCTATCATTGTAACCCTCTCGCCAACATGCGTTTGGTTTCGTGAGATAGATAAATCATGTTCGCTTACTCGAGAGCGCACAAACGTTCGTATGCTCATACCATATTCATATCTTATTCCAATACTTTTACTTTTCTTTCCTTTTTTTGCAAGAGTCAAAGCATTACCATGTGTATGTATAAATGAACGGCCTCCAACTCTTTTTTCCACTCATATGCTTTTACCTCTTCTCTCCTTTTTTTTTCTTCTTCGTCGTTTTTTTTCTTACTGCATGTTATATGTACATGTTATCATTAATGGGACGATTTCAAGCCTTCTTATTCTAGACCTTGTTTCACTTTTTTTTTCGAAGAATTATTACTGAAAAAGGCCTTCGTTTAGAAATATATTTATTGAAAAGGTCTCGTCTCATAGATATTTATATCCATTGAGTTAAACTGTCGTCTCGTTTTAATTGACTAATCTCAATGAATGCGAATATTAACAGCTGCCAAGTTCAATCATGATAGGTCCGAAACGAGTATGTCCGATGATGGGACTCACCTACATTTAGTTTATATTACGAGTACGATAATTAACAGAGAAAGAGAAACAAAAAAAAGAAAGAGTTAACAGTATGCTAGGCACCTGGTACTGTCTGATTACACAACATAGTGCATTTGTTTAAGTAAAAGAAAAAGAAGAAACTTACTGATTGTCGTTTGTTGACCAATCCAAATAACATAACGCGTGTGCGTTGAACCTTATTTTATTTCGTTTTAGATAATACGGAGAAAAACGATCGACAAAAAAAAATATATATATGGAAATGATCAGTCGCTTCTATATGTGGGTGTATATGTGTCTTCGTTTGTTGTTTCTTGGACTAGCAAATAATGATAGAATGATGAGGAATTTTGGGTTGCGTGTGTTGCATTCTGCACGCACAATAACAGAAAGCAGGGGTAAAAGGAAAAAAAAAGGGAAAACGAGAAAGAAAAGACAACGACGTCTATATTTTTTTCTTCGGCATCGTCTTCTTCTTTTTTTCTCTCTCTTCTACTCGGTTTCGGGCACTGGCAGCACGTCATCTGCGCCTTAGCTGCCTGATTTAATCAAGCGACGACCCGTTGTTTGTTCTCTTCTCTTTCTTTTCTCGCTCGTTTCTTACTGCTTCATGCTACTATCGAAGAAATTATCTCAACCCATTTTTTTCCCTATTTTTTTTTCTTTTCCTTTTTCCACATTGAGTTAGATCGAGTGTCTGCCAGTACGCCTTCTTACTATAGTACGAACTATTTTCTTGGCTTGTCTGTCAAAAATGATGATGAAGAATAGCAAAGAGTAGAATTGTTCAATCGTCAGTTTTTTCTTCTTTCTGTCGTTCTAGTCTTTCTTTACTGATGATGACTATTATTTGGTAACAAGAAGAAAATTCTCGAATACGATAGAATAAATATGTGTCTATCTAAAACAAACAGTTGGGAAATAAAAATCGATTAGTCAATAATATTTCTCAAATAACAAGAAACATTCAGTTTTATATTTCTGATGGAAAAATTACCCAATTTTTTTTGACAATCTCCAAAGAAACTTCATAATAAATCATTTCATCTTACAACTCATTACTAATATGTCATATAATGACAGAATAAAAAGATAACAGCAGCTATGATATATAAATATATTTATTCTTATCAGTTAGAACCTTGTAATAGTCTCTTTAGTTATTATTATGATAGTCTTACTTGAATGGTTTTGAAGATATATCGTTAACATGTTTGAATGTATAAGTATATATGCATATATGTATATATTGAAAAAATACAATAGTAATATAGTGTGATATTGGGTATCGATACTTTTCTTTTTTTCGTCCACTATGAGTAGGATCCTTGTATTCAACTTGACCTCATTTCTTTGTCACTCATTGTAATATGCATATACCCACTGTGTTAATCAAGCAGCAGCAATAATAACAGAAGGGACTATTGACGCGAATAGAACAGTTGAACTCTCATATACACAAAAAAGAAATGATAGGCCTATTGAAAGTGAAAGAAAAAAAATGTATTTTAATTCAACTCTCATAAGTAATATGGAATAGAGACATTTGTCGCGTGAGACGAAACGAACAATACTCGTTTTCATCTATGTCAATTTAGTAAATTGCTATAGGTGTTAGACCAGACAGACACTGGACTCTCAAGTGAGATAGACATCGATTAAATATTGACTTATACATTTGCAGAATTGTAATGTATCAAAAAGATAAAATATAACACATTTATCATGATCATCATCTGTTCAAGATCATCGATACAAAAATATATATAATAGGATACAAAAAAATAAATAAACTATGATAGAACTGCAACGTTAGAATTGCCATTATTGAGATTGTATTTTACTCGAAGTTGTTCATGGACTGTTTCATGTTGTTGTCGAATTTCGTTAAATTCACGACGACTTTCAGCAATCTCCTGTTCTCTTCTCGTATCGTTCTGTACTATTGCTTTTTGCCTTGACCATCTAGCACATTGATCACATTTTCGACATAAACAACAAATCTAAATGTTCATAAATAAGATTTAAAAAAAAAGATCTTTTTCAAATGTATATATTACCAAAAGTATAAGAAGAATAAGAATTAAAACTACACCAACAACGACTAATGTAACAATAACATCTGTAGTAAGTACGACCATCTCGTATATTCAATATATAAAAATATAATCTAAAAACAAAAGGCACATATTTTCTAAAAGAAATAGAATCATGACCTTGTGTATGATTCATAGTCCAGTGAAATGAAGGAAAAGGAAAACTACAAGAAAATATTTTCAAAGATCTTATAAATAGATAATAACTGAATATCAAATTACTAATGATTTTTGTTGTATGAAATCAAAATATATAAAATCAGCTACTTACATATATAAAGTTTCTACTTCTAATGAATAACTGAAATTGATCAACGCATGTATCTCTCTCTATGTATTTTTTTCGTATGATTTGTTTTTTTCTTACTCATTCAAACAACCTACCTGACATATATTATTCTATAGTTTCTGCATGATTGATTTTTCTCTTTCGATATATCATGAGAAAAGAAAACTTAAATGTTACTTTGATATCTTTCATTCATTCTTACAAAAACATATTGCATATATATATGTATCTGCACTGTGTTTAAATTTATGAATCATCAGTATATCCACATTACTCAATTCATATAAGAACAAAAAGAAAAAAGAAAAGAGTCATTATACATTCATAAAGACATAACAACAACAACAATAACAAAAAAAACACAAATAGAATAATTGTCTAACTATTATTAAGAATTCTAATCACCACCGTTCCATCAATATTTGGTAGCGGAACATCATAATCATCAATTTTCTCATTAATAAATTGTGTATCACCACCAAGCCAATTTTCATTTGAAGCACGATGTTTAACAAAGTAATCGAGTGAAGTATTTGTACTCAAACCATTACGTTGATTTGTTGATGATATATGTAATCGAGGAAGAATATCTTTAAGTGTGATGGATTCAAGCGGTACTGCAACTTGGATAACAAATGGAGTATCGCTATCAGGTAGAAAATAAGCAACACGGGTTTTTTTCATTGATGTAGCTAAAAGTAAAATATTGAATGAATTTTTTCTACAAAATAAATATTTTTGTACAAACATTCAACTCGAACACTTCGATTATGATGATGATTATGATGTTGATGATTTGTTCGATCATTTGATTTAATTTTTGTTTGTAACGATAATGATGACGAGTGGAGTTTACGTGATTTTTTAAGTTCATTTTCATTTTGATATGCACTTGTATTATTTACAAGTGTTGATGTTGATTTTATTTGTGTATTCATTTTGGAAAATTTACCACGTCGATATTCATTCCACGTACGCGAATTAATAAATTGTCGAAATACATCGGTTTGAGTTTCAATATAAATAAGAAGATCATCTAATACACCATCAAAAAAATGTTCATCGAATTGTTTACGACGATACGCATCACGTAATTCTAAACGTCGTTGTGATGGTAACCACGGTAGAATCGATTCATTTTCAATATAAGTTTTATAAGCAGCACGTCCAATATCATGTAATTGATTTGAATCATCTTTTTTTTCGTTTAGTACAAGTACAATAGCATAAACAGCACCAAGTGACGCTGTTTGTTGTGAATTCATAAGAAATTCAAGAAATAATTCGGCTGTTTCGGGATTTGAGACAATTTCATGTGCAGAAATTGTTCGTGATAATTGTGAAGGATTATTAGCCGGAACTCGATGTACAGTGGTTAATGATGATCGATGTGAACATTCAGTATCGCTGAAAGACATGTTTTCTGTCTTTTTTCGCTAGGTTCAAATAAAATTCAACCTAGACACAAAGACGATCAACTTATGTTCAGATTGTTCTTGCGTACAATAGAAAAGAGAATGAAAAAAAAATGTATGTTAGCTAGATATTTTCTTAAATGTATGTAGATATTTTTCTTTTTCGTTTCTGTTCAATTCATCTTTTTTTTCCGTCCAGTCGATGCGCCGCACGTCGGCGTTCGTTTCGTCATTATTGATGTGTCAAGACACTCCCAGCTGGAAAGGAAAAAAATTTGAAAAATATATTTCAGTAACGTATATATTCATGCATCTAATCCGTCTATTCCTTTGAAGACGATCAAAGAAATGCCGATAATAGTTGTCCGATGAAAAAACAACAACTATTGCACACATACGCGCATTCATATAGATATATATATATACATATAATTGGATCGTGGCATCAAATAAGAAACGATGGCGGTGCGCATCATACTTAGTAGTTAGGAAAAAAGCATATATGTGTGAAAAACACTAATCTTTAACCTCATTCAATGATATTAGATTATAGGAAAATATTTCAAGAATTATTTGCTGATAATTCGATACGAAAATGTCATGTGTATGAATGATAGAATTACACATAGAAGTATTTCATGATTAAGCCACATTCTTTTATGAATAAATAAATACGAAAAAAAAATCAATAATTTATTATTTTTTTCCTTCTTACAATAATTGATTATTAGAGATACATTGTTATTTTTATATGCAAAACACCATATGTGTTTTCCACTAGAGATATTTAAATTAATATAAATAGAGCAGAATGGAATTGAATAACAAAAACAATCCTATTTGATATATATGGTTTAATTCTTTTATTATCAATCAACAATATAGTATCTATATTGTTAATTGATAATAAAAGAATTAAA